CATTCAAAGTACTTGAGAGGATCACAGTTGACTTATAGTTGAACAGTTTTTTATTTTTTCGACCTCAGGAGCCAGCTAGATATTAACAATAAGAAGAGTGTAACTGATTCAATCCGTGACGAGTATGCTTTCCTTCAAAAGAAATACCCATCTCTGGCTAATAGAAATGGAACAAAGTATCTTGCTAGAACTTTAAACAGGTAACATTTTTTACCTTTTGGAAAATCAGATGGTTTTGGTCTGAGACCTTTGATTATCAGTTCCTCACATTTTCATAATGTTCTTACCTGTAAAATTTCACTTTTTGTTTCTTGTATAGTAGCTTCTTAATAATGCAGATGTCTATTTCTGTTGAGGTGGTTGGCATTAAATCATCTTGTAGTTCAGAAATGCTCAAGTGAATTTTAAAATGCCTTAATTGTGAAATTCTTGACAGTCATTTTACTTTTGATAATAGAACGAGATGGCAGGTGACTTCATCTCCACTTTGGATTTCAGGGACTGAATTAAAATGCATAATTTTCGCATAATCTATTCTTAATTTAGGATGTCTTCTATTCCTATTCAGAAAAAGCATTTAAGCTGTGTACTTTCAATTCTGAATACCCAGTAATGGTAGAGGGACTGGAATACCTTTCTAGATAATGTATAAATGACTGCAGTAAAATCAGTTTTCTCTTACTTTTGGCTTAGTCCCTAAATAAATTACAGGCTGATGGACGTGGATCTTAAGGTTGATTTTCACTGTATTGAGTACCCAGTGTAAAAGGTGAGTCAGAAACCAAAACCATGTAGGTAGAGTTGAATTGAGTAGCTTACATTCTTTGAGGTAACTGCAATAATACAAAAACAGTTTTCTTTTAATTTACATTCGGTTCTCTAGCAACTGCTACAATTTGAGGGGCTGAAGGCAAATTTAAAAAGCACTGACCAGGATGGCTTCCTTTATGTCATTTTTTTTCAGACTAAGCCTGTGCCTCTAGTCTAAGATTGCGTTATTTCCTCCCACACAAATCATTTGCATTTAAAAATTTTGACCTGCTTGGGTCTTCAATATACACAGCTTCACTTTACAATCCCTCCTGTCTAACGTCTGCCAGGTTGCTGATGCACCACATCAGAGACTGCTTACCAGAGCTGAAAACGAGAATAAACGTTCTCGCTGCCCAGTATCAGTCTCTCCTGAACAGCTACGGGGAGCCTGTGGATGACAAAAGCGCTACCTTACTCCAGCTCATCACCAAATTCGCCACGGAATATTGTAATACTATTGAAGGGACTGCAAAATATATTGAAACTTCAGAGCTGTAAGTAAAAAATTTCTCTATGGATTTGGTTACCCAGATTGATAAGTTACATTATCTTTGGTCACAGTGACTTTCACTCTGAGATTATCTGGCTGATTTATTATCTATAAAACAGGAATATCATTTTTTAGAAATGATGATGTCTGATATGCATGTAAAATGCTCTATAAACTATGTAAAGCATGGTAAAAGTTTCAGGGTTTTTTTTTAACAAGACCTTTATTGATAAGCATTTATAAAAATTTCATTATTTACCTTAAAAATTTTTTTATTTACTTACTTACTTAATGGAGGTACTGGGGATTGAACGCATTACCTTGTACGTGCTAAGCATGCACTCTACCGCTGAGCTATACCCTCCCCTAATTTAACTTTTAAAATGTTTCTTTAATACACACAGTGTAATTGTTCATGAAAAAAATACAAAAATGCAGGTAAGTAAAAAGAATAAAACCCAAGGACAAAATTACTCTTAAATCCATCATCCCTGGCTACTTTGGCATTCACCTAAACATTTTTCTGTGCATCTGTAAAATGTATAAATGCCTGTAATACACATCTTTAAAACTCAGATAGTGTAATACTATTTTGGAATCCTTTCTTTAAATCAACATGTCATAAATGACTAGTAGTAATTAAATATTTGTATTCTCAGTCCTAAGATTTACATAGTATTTCGCTATTTAGATTCATACTTTCATTTTCTGAAGCAGTCCCCTACTATTAATAGTTTGCTTTCACTGCTACACAAATATAAACAGTGTTGTGATGGACTGTCTTTGGAGCATGTATCCAAGTAGACCCTTAGGGCACCAAATCCGAGGGCGTGTGACCTCCTCAGAGTCTCTCACTGCTACACTCTTAGTAGATTATATTGTGTTACTACTAGCAATATACAAGAATGTACATTACTCTTAACTCTCACCTTTAAGAAAATCTTTGAACTTTGAAAACCAATTACAGACGTCTAGAAAGTTGCACATAAAAGTACAGGGAGGGCCTGTTCACCATTCACCCTCCACCTCCCCCGTGTTGACAGTGTGACATAAGTATAGTACAATAACAAAACGAGAAAACGGGCATTGGTACAATCCACAGGGCTTAGTCAGATTTCACCAGTTATACACACACATATACATGACTGTGTACAGTTCTGTGTACTTTGTGTGACCCAGGTAGCCTTCTATTTGAGCTAACGCCAAAGGATATTTAACAAAGTAATTATTGAATGGTTATTATATGTATGGTGTATTGAGGAAATAAAGATTACTACGATGAACTTTTAAAGAGTTCAGTGGGTAAGGTAGGTCAAGGTAACACATGGCTTGATTAGGTGACAAAAAGTATAATTTTTATCTAAATAATTATTAAATATAGTACATATCCAGGAAAGTGCATACAACAGGGACAGTTTTATAAGTAGTTAATAAAGCAAGTATCTGTGTACTTACCTAATCAAGCCTTGTTAGAATATTGAAGAGAGACCATTCACATTTCCTTCGAGGACTGGGAGAGCCCCCCAGTTAAGAATGCATTTGGGTTGGGCTCTGAATAGACTTCGGGAAGACAGGGAGCAGAAGGGTATTTTAGGCTTTGGAGTAGGAAAGAATAATGCACGGCAAATTTGGAGAATGGCACGTACAGTAACAGGACATAACGGGGTAAGGCAGGGAAGGGGTCTCAGAACAAGACCGTGGAAAGCCTAGTATCTTCAGAATTTGAAGAATTCCTGCTATAAAAAACAGAACAGTTTTGGTCAGAGGAACAACCCGTTTTAGAAGGATAATTCTGATCATTATGAACATTATTTGGAGTTCCTCTGTGTGTGTGTGTGTGTGCGCGCGCGCACACGCACGTGCATATATGAATGCCTTTCGTGAAATGGCTCCTTTCCCCATTAAAAAAAAAATTAGAAACTGGTTCATAATGGAGTTGAGGATACATGGAGATGGTCTAAATACAACTGTTTATCTGAGACAAGCCTAAAGCTTACAGAAAGCCTTCTAACTTGTAGTTTCTCTCCCTTTTAGTGATACTAGAAATCATACAGTTCATTGCCTTTCAGATGCGGCGGTGCTAGAATATGTTATATTTTCCATGAGACTTTTGGGCGAACCTTAGAGTCTGTTGATCCACTAGGTGGCCTTAACACTATTGACATTTTGACTGCCATTAGAAATGCAACTGTGAGTATGCTTAACTTTCAGAATTTTATTGAAATGAGGTTAAAGTTTTATTATTTTTTAACCCATGTAATTATATCTTTTTTTTTAAATCGAATTGTATGATTACTTTGCTCTCACTCTTGAAATTAGGAAGTCCTTTTCATTAAAAAATTAAAAATGTGATTTACTTTTAACGTTAGAGAAGAACCAAAATTATATGTAGTTATAATAAGAGCTCAAAAAATTACTTTGTTTTAGGGTCCTCGCCCTGCTTTGTTTGTGCCTGAAGTTTCGTTTGAGTTACTGGTCAAACGGCAAATCAAACGTCTGGAAGAGCCGAGCCTCCGCTGTGTGGAACTGGTTCATGAGGAAATGCAAAGGATCATTCAGCACTGTAGCAACTACAGCACACAAGTAATTGAGAAATGTACCAGGTTTCAGGTTAAGTAGTAACATACATGGCGGAGTGGTTGCGTGGGGCAGGCGGGAATACAGAAGACGGGCTACAAGTTAAAATCTGCAGCTCCCTTACCTGCAAGCGATTTGAAATAGTGTCCTTAACTATACCTTCCAAATCTAATTCAGCATATCAGTGATTATTTAATTTCCTGTAAAGAAAGTAGACTGTTTCTTTCTTCCATCACATGCAGGAGTTGTTGCGTTTCCCTAAACTGCACGATGCCATAGTTGAAGTAGTGACTTGTCTTCTTCGTAAACGGTTGCCTGTTACAAATGAAATGGTGAGCTACTCCTTCACAAGTCATCGTTGTAGTCACTGTTAGTAACAGTCACTTTGTACAGCATTATGGTTACTTTAGAGCTTAGGCATAATGTTTCCCACTATATTGGGAAGAAAAAGAAGTGAGTTTCAGTCTTACTTCAAAGAAAACCTCAATAATTCTGGTATAAAACGCATTTTTCTTCATATTTTAATTATTGTTAGCCTGCAGCCAGAGACTTTCCTGAGAGTGGAATGACTGTTGAGAACTGAATAGCTTAGCTTTATTACGTAGCAGCACTGATCGCATGGAAAGTTAGGTTTATCTTCAGCCCAGTGAACTGAGCCATTATATGCAAGCTTTTTTTTTTTTAAAACTCTGATGTACATCAGGGTAATTTGGCCATTTGTACAGTGTCCTTGTTTGATGACCTAATACTATAATATCATGGCTGTGTCCTTAAAAAGAAAAATCCTGACATTGGCAGAAATATTTAAAATTGCCCTTAAGCCTCTAATTGTTGGCTGGTTTATTTATGTTTTCCCTTCCTGGTCCATGTGCGCTTGGCTCCGGGGCTCAGGATGGTGAGTTTACTTAGAGCACAAGACCAGGCTTGGAAGCGCAGAATGTCAGTGTCTTTGCTTAGTTATCTCCCCAGCAAGCATGACCCCCAGGCTCAAGTGAGGAAGGACGGGTAGCCTGAGTGCAGGCCCTCCCGCTGACACCACAGAATCCTTGGGATTTCATTTAAATAAGTCATCCTCACTGGTTCTTGCCCTTTGAGTGCTGCTCTGATGCGTGATTCGTCAGGACAGTGCCAGTGAAGGAGTTAATCTCTCTACGATGCTGGAGAAATGAGTGTCAGCGTTCCTTTCCGATTCCTGTCCCAGCGAGGACTTTGAACCACACGTTTGCACTAGGTGCCTCATAATCAAGGCTGATCAGTTATTATCTTTACGTCTTTAAACGTATCCTTTACTTTACTTTAACTTACTTGTATCTGATTATGCAATGTTTTCTTGTTGGTGAACCTGAACTTTTGACATGGAATAGTGGAAGATCTAAGGTTTTAAAAGCAAAATTGCATAAAGCCCTGGAACTTAGATACGCATCAGATAGATAGCTTTTTTCCCTAACAAAATACTTCTAACTACTTTAATGTCACCATCCCTCCCCCTTAGAAGTGTAATCTTAGATGCTGAGATAGAAATAATTCAAAACATAGAGCAAGTTATTACTCACTATCAGACCTGTCAGTTGGAGTAGAATTATCAAGTTCTCATTTAGGCATCAGTGTCCTGTACTGTGTTTTAGAATTATGTGTTTAATAAGTTTATGTTTCCTGAAATAAAATTAGTTTGGCATATTTTTGTATATAGCCTAATTTTATTTTTTTCTAGGTCCATAACTTAGTGGCAATTGAACTGGCTTACATCAACACAAAACATCCAGACTTTGCTGATGCTTGTGGGTTAATGAACAATAATATAGAGGTAAAACAATTTGACTTTGTCTCTTTTGAGAGAAAATCTGTTGTAACTCAGTTATATCAGACTCATTGAGCAAGGGATAACTGTAAGATAGATACGCAACCACATTGTTGTCTGCTATATGCCGGGAAATATGCTGAGGGCATTACATTGTCCTCTTAAATTTAATTCTCAGAACCCCTGGAGGCATTGTTTTCCTCTTCTGCTGTGACACTGCAACTCACAGAGGCTCTGGGGCTCATTGACTCGTTGTTGGTCTGCCTGGTTCCATTTAAGTGACTGTTGTTGCAGTTTATTCAGACTGAAGTGTGTTAAACAAAGTGTGTTTAAAACTGTTTTCATTTGGTTCTGAAAGCTGTTTGGAAACATACCAAGAATTACCTAAATTATAGTGCATTTGGGAAAACAGGGTACTATTATCACTACTACTGTGGTGGCTGCATTTCATGGACCTTTTTTTTCCCATTTGAGGTTAATGTTGCAGGTTGCTTAAGATCTCAGATGGAGCCAAGGCTGGTGGATACAGCAGTTTATCCAGATGCAATTTTTTTTCTCTGCCTTTTTCATCCAAGAACAGTAAATTTTTTCTGCTGCTCCTTGGTCCAGTGAGATCCCAGAGCCCCTTTCTAGATCAGATTTTCCTCTTATGCACGTGGGCGGACAGGCAGTTGTAAGCACGGGGTTTGGGGACTGGAAGGGACTCTCAGTTATCGCCTTCAGCCCTTGGGTTAGGCAGATGAGGACCCTGAGGACAGACAGCAGGTGTCACTTCAGTGCTATTTGCTGGGCACTCTTAGAGGAAAAAAGCGCCTTCTCTTTAACAGGTACAGGGAACTACTTTTTAGCTACATAGTCGAGGAGACACCTGTTGTCAGAAAAAATTCCAAAATGCATATGAGTAAGGCACTTAAAAAATACTCAATGAACTAGATAACAGTTACGTTAAAAAAAAAAAATACCATGTAGACCCTGTCTTAAGGTAAAGACTTCGTTCTTGTAACACCGAAACCAACTTCGTGGAAAATGTGCGTCTGGAACAGTTTTTGTAATACTGACAAGGTCATTTATAATATAATTTCAGATGAATACAAATGAGTATGTCTCTGGTTTTAATAACTCTGTGTCAAGAAACTTTATGTGGACATTCTCACTTAATCTCTCCAGCAGCCCCATGAGGGTAGGTGACAGAAACAGGCCAGGAAGCTGGGGCTCAGCTAGTGACCTGGCGGGCTAAGGTCCTAACTGGTTGGTAACAGACTGGGTGAGTTTCTGGTCTCTAGGTTCCTTTGCTTTGTGTCCCTCTTCAAAATGTACAGTTAATGCTGACTTTTTATTCTGAAGATTGTTAAAATCCATTGATTTTCTATCATCTGCTATATTTTCTATCACTGCATAAATGAAAAGTGGGTCAAATTTCTGTCAGAAAAGATGTCCTACCCCAAAACATCGTGAAGCTTTGTTAATTAGCCCTTTTTGCAAATTTGAATGTTCATTTAATGCTTTCTACTCAGGAGCATTTTGACTGTTTGACCTAATTGCTCTTCTGCTGTCTCTGGTGCTGCCTCTGAGAGAGCCACTAATAACACCTGCATCCTTTTGCATTTTCATAGTCTTGCACCTGCTTGACGTGTAGTAGGTGCTCAGTACCCACCGATTTGAATTTACAGTTCCTCTAGCTCTGTACCAGGGTTAGTTTGATAATAGCAAATTAGAAGGGAGGGCAGCTGGCTAGTCTGTTAAAGGAGCCAGGTGACAGAAACGACCATCAGATTCCCACACAGTTATTCCTGGAGATCGTTCAGGATAAAGAAACCAACATTCTTACCACGGTTTCTTATAGGTATGAGGTTTTGTGTGGGACTTGTGTGAATTTAACACAGATGTGTGCAGGTTAGAGTGATTTTTAAGGGTTTTGCTTCAGTTTTCTGTGATCTGTGCACTTCGAATTCTACACGGTACGTTGAAGGCTTGTGTGCACATTTAGGTGGGGACAGTGATTCTTAATGGGAAAGGCAGAGGTGATGCTGGTCCACTGCCCCTCATTTGAGAATCCCTGGTACAGGGGAGCCACTGTTACTGACACTGTATTGTATCCCTCAGGTGTGTTGGGGCAGAAAAAAAGATTGAGAAGCATTGGGTTAAATGAGTTCTTGTTTGTTTTAAAATATAATTATGGCATGAGTCCCAACAGTGAGAGGATATACTGTAAGTTATTCCGCACTTTTTAATTAAGCTGAACATTTTTTTTAGTAGGCTTGTATCTCTGTGCTCTGATAATCACCTTTTCTCTGCTTGGTTGTGTTTTTTAGGAACAAAGGAGAAACAGGCTAGCAAGAGAATTGCCTTCAGCTGTATCACGAGACAAGGTAAAAAACAGTGTTTTTATAGCATGTTCCCAACGCGCAAAGATGAACTGGTAAGGCTCGGAGGGGCGCTCAGCTCTAGTTTTGTCTTGTTCTCCTTTTACTGTTCCACTGGCACTATTTCATTGTTTGAGTAAAGGTATGTGAATTTTAAAATAAGATTAGAGCACTTTAAAGATAAAATATTTTTGAATATATTGGAATAAGTGCTTAAAGGTGGATTTTAAAGTATCAAGGCCTTTTTAAAAAAAAATTCAGTGACTTTATCAGCTTTGTAAAATGAGTTGAAATGAGTAATGACTTTATTCTAACAAGAGGGCTTTTTGGAGTGGGAGGGTGACAATACCTGCAATGCCTGTAATGGTCGTATATATTAAAATTTTTGTGTGTATTAAAATCTGTTACCTTGGGTTGATTCTTTCCCAGAAGAGATCTTATCAAATTCCAAAGATCAAAATGAAGTTTTTGGATTTGGATTTTTCTGAGGAATTTATCTGAGGAAAGCCTTAAATAAAGGTGACAACAGTACAGGAAATAAGGCAGAATAAACATTAATTTATACCCCCCGAGTACTTTTGGTTTTCATGTTACTTTACTATTTTATACCGAGGGGAAAACTCACATTTATAGAATGTTTCTGAATGCATTTTTGGCATCCTTGATTTCTTTTTTCCCTGCATTTTTTGCCTTTAGTCTTCTAAAGTTCCAAGTGCTTTGGCACCTGCCTCCCAGGAGCCCTCCCCTGCTGCTTCTGCTGAGGCTGATGGCAAGGTCTGTTCTGATTCTTAATCTAAGCCTGCATGCCTAGTCTGGTGCAACACAATCGTCTGGAAACAATACACTGAGTAGCAGAATATTAATATGGGATATTGTGCTAAGGTCAGATTTTAGTCTCATAGAAATTTTAAATCATTTAACAATGTATATACGTCATAGAATAAGTGTTGACATGCTTTTGCTTGCAATGTAGAAGATGCACACAGAAAAGGAATTTAAAGAGGAAATTATCCTCTACTTTTTGAATTTCAAGCCATTGGTATTTAAATTTTGCTTGTTAAACTGCATGTTTTAACATGTCTTTTAACAGTTAATTCAGGACAGCAGAAGAGAAACTAAAAATGTGAGTCTCATTTCAGAATGAAAATGTTGGTACTTTTGATTCTCACTGAAACACTGTCTTCAAAACCACTGACAAACTCGTTTGTACGGTGGCATCTACCTCCTGTGTCTGTTATGGTTTTAATGTTTCTCTTATCGAACTAACCCTTCTGAGATGGCTTTTGTTCTTGTTTTAACACTGTTCTAAATAATAATAACAGGCATTCTCACTGTTTTCTGTTACTTCCAAGAATAGTTTTGAATTTAGTGTTTTGGTAGGAAAAGAAGATTCCAGAGGTGGAAGTTGTACTTTGGGACATTTCCTCTTTAAAGGTTCTGAGATCGCCCAGCACTAATGGATAATCCTCTCGTGCTTCTTTCTTGTGCTTCTGTTCAGCTCGCACTGGTCACCCGAAATACGTAGCTTAGCACACGCCTCAAACGCTTCAGCAAATTTAGAACGGGGACTGGGAGAGTTTGAGTGTTCTCAGACGGTTCTTAATAACCTTTTTAGGGGGAAAAAATTAAATAATCTGTGAATTATTCAGACTCATCCTTATTTCTAGTTTTTCTGCCGTTTAGCTCCTTTCCCTGTAGTCCAAATTTAAAGTGCCAAGTCCCAAATGAAACTTTCTTGCAGCCTACTGTGCCTAGAGCCTAAGAGAACCATCTGAATACTGCTTAAGTTTTATTTCACTCATGGCATCACCCTGAATTCGCTCACTTTCCTTAAGATTTCATTTCAGGCATTTAAAAATTCAATTATTCATTTTAAAATTAATGTATAAATATACTGCTTGTATGCTGATATACCTCATTGTAAGTACATTTTAGAGACAAATTTCGGCCTGTGTTTTGATTCAGAATGGTACCCCAAAATATTTTCTAACAACTGCGTAACATTCTTTAATTAAATTTAGACAAGCACTTCCAGCAGATCCTTTCTCAAGGGTCTGGATGCTGAGGGAACTGGCGCTGTGTGTCACACTGCATTTTAGGGGCTTAAAGTCCCTGTCAGCCTGAGAGTCACGAGTGTGTTGTTTCTTCTGTTAAAGGGTTCCTACATTTATCCTGCGGTGCTGACTACTAGGAGCATAAACTGACTTGAGAAATGTATAAGCTCTTAGGTTTGGAGACACGAGCTCACAGAAGGTTTGCAGAGATGACAGTTCACAGAGTTCACAGTTACTTGGAGGAAATAAGCTGACGTTTTCCCTGTGCTTGTGATGAGCAGTCAGCATGGTGTCAAACGGCAGCTTATACTCCCCCACAACCTCGGGTGTTGGAGGGGTTTGGGAGGAAATGCTTTGAGAAGTTGGCAGATGATAAAAAAGGGAATTTAAGTAGCACTGGCTGAGGCTTGCAGACAACTCACAGTTGTCACTCAGACGCCCAGGAGCCCAGTACACATGCCGCCCACCATCCTCTCTGCCCCGATGTCTCTCTGAGTAGACCAAACTCCAGGTGGGTATGGGTGTCCGTTCTCCTTGACTGCTGCCAAAGAAGATGAATTGTGTTCAGCTAACGTCAGCTTTGATATGTTCGGTATAGATTCTGGAACATGTTTTTTTCAGGTTGCATCTGGAGGTGGTGGGGTTGGAGATGGTGTTCAAGAACCAGCCACAGGCAACTGGAGAGGGATGCTGAAGACTTCAAAGGCTGAAGAGTTACTAGCTGAGGAAAAATCGAAACCAATCCCAATTATGCCGGCCAGCCCGCAGAAAGGCCACGCCGTGAACTTGCTGGATGTGGTAAGCTGCAGGGTGTGGTTGAGGATGGATAACCAGATTCTTAGGAGAACACTTCTAAAGACAGAAGGAGCTGAAGTCTCAAAAACTTACTGAATGTTAAATATTTTTCATTTCAAAATGGCACAAAAGCTTTTTTTCTCCCCTTCACACCATTTAGCCAGTTCCTGTTGCACGAAAACTGTCTGCCCGTGAACAGCGAGACTGTGAGGTTATTGAACGACTCATCAAATCCTATTTTCTTATTGTCAGAAAGAATATTCAAGACAGGTTAGTGCTGTGTCATGTAAATCACACACACACACACACAGATAGAACACTGATTGATGCATGATCTCAGCCTCTGTTTCGACAATATAAGTATTTAAAAATTTTTTTTTACATTTAGGTTTTTATTCTAAATCCAATGGATTATCTGATTGTTTGGTTTTTGCAGTGTGCCAAAGGCAGTGATGCATTTTTTGGTTAATCATGTGAAAGACACTCTTCAGAGTGAGTTAGTTGGACAGCTGTATAAATCATCCTTGTTGGATGATCTTCTGACGGAGTCTGAGGACATGGCACAGCGCAGGAAAGAAGCAGCTGATATGCTAAAGGTATTACCGTGAAGTTTTTTTTTGGCTTTTCACACTTGGGTTGTAAGTATAAACATAACGTTGTTTAAAACGCATTCTCATCCTTAGAGAAACTGTGAAGTCTTTGTATTTGCATGACATCCAGTCTTTTTTTTTTTCTGTTGGCACTTGGTTAGATTCCAGTTTCAGAGAGGATGCTGATCAGTATAAATTTACCATATATAGAGATACTAGCCCATATTAATTCAGATTCTCTGATATTACAACTTAAGCATTTATAATTTTTATCATCTTCTTTAATGCAGGCATTACAAGGAGCCAGTCAAATTATTGCTGAAATCCGAGAGACTCACCTTTGGTAAAGAGAACTATGTAATACCAAGACTTGGCTGACTTGCTAGTGACTGCCTACTTGAGTAGAATTTTATTTATGAACTCCTGTGTATTGCAACGGAATGGACCTGCTCACGTGAAGACTGGCTATCCACTGAAAACTGTGCTCTGTATTGCAGAACAAATCATACATTTAATCCAAATAATAAATGGCTGTTTCTAAAATTTCCTGGTATATATAAAATACATCAAGTCTATCTTGTGACAGTTTCGTTTGAACTTAAAAGGAACTGTTAATAGTTGTAGCTGTACAAGCAGTTTGTCTGTGGATATAAGATGACCTGTGTAATCTGCTAGTAGTCCTAAAGCTGCTGCCATAGTCCTTCAAGAAAATGCACCAGGACACCATTTCGTACGACTATAATGCATGCACTATGTATCAACGGATCTGGCTTTGAAAGAGGTGGGTTGACAAGTTACTCACATAATCACCAGTCGACCTGTTCTTTGATTTAATTTTACTGAGCTGCTCTGCAGCCTCTGCTGTGTGAGAAGATTGAATGGCCAAGAGGGTCTGTAACACTGACAGTGACTGGTATGCATAATGTGTAGCTACACAGTCCTTCCACTCCTGGGTCCACGCTGCCCTAGCGCATTAAAAGTTAAAGTATCTTTGATCTTACTTAAACGTGGAAGCGTGAATTATGTTTGCCTGCATTAAAAACAACCATCTCTATTTTATTATCTAGTAAGACCTGGTAGCATCCATCCCCTTTAAATTTTGAGACATCCTAATACAGTCCCCTTGGTTTCCAAATACAATGGAAATAATCCGGACACATTTTTAAATTGGGGCACGCACACCACACTTCAAGACTCACGTAGAGGTGGAACTTAAAACCAAACACTGCTGATTACTGAAGTGTCTCTTTCTGTAAGTGTGAGTTGGTAACAGTTACTCTCGCTTCACACCAAAATACATTAGAATAGAGGTATGAAAATAATGGTGGAGCTTTATTATTTAAAGAAACACATCTGGACAGACACACATACTCCTAAAGGCTTTCAGGGGGTTGGGAGTGAGGTTTAGATGATACACACATTTTACTAAAATCCCCCAGATGATTCTTCGTATGAATTACACTAGATTTTAAGATAAACTATATGCTGCAGATATTAAACCTTTTAGAGTTATTCCGTTTATGAAGGGCTGCTGGCAGGAACAATGTGAGTACATCTGCTACCTTTAGTTACTGGTACCCATTTGACAGGCTCAGCAACTGATGTGAAACACAAAACACCAGATTTAGTTGGGTATGACATGGTACTGCTTTGAATTTGTCAGCAGTACCATCTTCACAGAAAGCATGCTTCCAGATGTCAGCACACTTTACAAAATCACTCCACCATCATTAAACATGTAGCCACTCGTGACTTCCTAATTCCAGGTAGACCAGATGACTACCGCTCCGTTACAGGTTTTCAAATTTGTAAGGGGGAGAAAACTCGTAATGCACCTTTCTCCAGAATATCAGACAAATTCCAAATTGAGTATGTTACCTGCTGTGGTGCCGCACCTGCTAGTACTACACACCTCGTACAAAGGGAAACAGGCAAGGCAGGAATGGAACGAGAAAACCTCCTTTTGTTGGCTGGCCCTCAAGCTGAGTGAAGTTCTGAAATGTAGAGACGATCTCTGACATTTATAATGGATACCTGTATGTTTTACTATGTAAATAAAATTGCTGGTATGAAGTGACATTTAAGTTTGTCAATAAATGAATTCTTCCTAACTTTGATCCCAGAAAATTTAGATAAACTACAGCTTTTTTAACATTTAAATCTACTTTGGAACACAGCAGCACACCTTATACTGTAAGAAAGTTTAGTGACCTTTTTCCTATTAGGTTTTCGTAACTGACTGAAGTATTACATCTCCATCTTTGCATATGAAGACAGTGACTTGCTCCAAGCAACCTAGGTAGTAAATCGCTGAATTGGAACCCTAAAGCCATGCTCTGCGGCCTGTGAGATTTTCCAGAACAGATGTGACTGTAAACAGCTTGTGTGTGTGTTTGTGTTTCACTTGATCCTCAGGGGAAATAGTACCTTGATTTTTCAATGTTGGAAAACAGGTCTGTAGGACCAGCTTGCCTAATGAACGCAGAGCTTAATTTAACTAAGCCTTGATTCCAGATCCTTTAAATCTGACCTGAAAACTTCCCTTACCAGAGTATCTTTTGATATTCTCACATGATTATCCTCTGTTTTATCTTGTTGGTTACTTAACTTTTCAGTTCATCTCAAGCTGCAATCTGCTTGGGGACAGATGTTTAAACTTAAAACTAACTTAAAAGTTTATAAATTTATAAAATATTGCTACCTTTTTTTACTAAGTAAAAAAAAAGAATAAGTTTAATCATATGGAAACACAGGCAAGAGAGACTGGAAAACTAAATTAGAAATTTTCTAAAAAGTCAAGTACTGATTTTTGTTCTTTTCTTCGAAAAGAAATCATTGCTACAGTAATTTCTAATGCCAACCATGGCTTCCTCTGACTCTTCCCCTTTTTTACGGAGAACTGAGTTTGCTTCCTAAACAACCAAAAAATCCAGTGAGATAAACACCTGATAAAAAAGTACCCCACTTCCTTACACTGCCGCGTCTAAAGTGTCGTCCTCATCTTCAAAAGGGCAAGGACAGGACAAGAAAGACAACACACAGCTTTTCATGAAGACATTCACCCTGGAAATCGTGCTTAATGTTTAAGGCTCAGGAAGTAGAAATCCCACTATTAAATAACAAATGTAACCACCCTGTATAAATTATGAGATTACTCACACTGTGAGGCTTAGAGCGTGCACTCCATTCTCTGTTGTTTGATTTGATTAAGTGACGGCATAAGTCCGTCCGTCTTGAGAATGAATGAATGACGAACCACCAGGAGGATTCCTCTTCACAGCTGAAGCCATTTTATAATGTAGAAGTTCCTTTTCCCTATTTTAAGTAACGAAAGTCCATTCTTAAGAATATGTTGTCCAACAACTAGAACGCTCTCAGGGTTTGTTACTTGTCTGTGATTTATACTGACTCCTCCTTCTGTAATCATCCGATACCTAAAAACAGAAATGGTTAGTGGTCAGGTAAGGCTAACCACTGCTGACCTGTCCCAGTAACACAGACACATCGCCTCATTTACATTTTAAAGGCTCTTCATCTGAAACTAGCACTGAATTGTTACCTTCGTATTTACTAGATTCCGCCTCTCCTTTAATGTTCTCCTGAAGGAGCAGGTTTAAGACGGTCAACTGATGCTTTTAAATAAGTCAGGCAATCCCTCTGCTCCCCAAAATAAAGAGGATACAGACTGACGACGAGACGGCTTGTGTGACTCTCCTTGGGGCCTGTCCTTGGATGTTCTCAAACTGCCCGCCCCTGAGCTCACTGATCCCAGAGTATTTATACGTAGTGATCCCCTAAACACGAGCCTTTTCAACACTAGAGGAAAAACCGACCAGGTTAGACTCAGAGAGTCCAGTGACACTAGACTTTATAGAAAGTTTAAGGGATTTTCAGGATTAAGAAATCAGTTATTAAAAAGAAAAGAAATCAGTTACTACTTTATTCTCAGACTAACCTAACTTCCACAAGGAATGCGATGCCATTATCAGGAAAACAGCCTCTCTGGAAATACATGCTGTGAACTGTAACATTTAATGTTGAATGAAATGTGAACCTAAAGGTTAAATAACCTTACCCTCGGGGACCATCTGGGATGGCATTTGCTTTGCGACACGTGTCTAGGACGCTTGTTCCAGGGTCGAGAACTAATTCAGAAAATGAAGCTTCTTTAAACAACTCTTTTAACTCTTGATCTGACATGACCTCCAGTGCATCTATGCTGCTGTGATAAAGGGCTTGTGTACACCTGAAAAACACATTTTGAGAGCCACGGCCTGTGAGTGTTTGCTCAGATACGTGTTCTAACACCCGATAACCAACCACGAAATTCCCGTTATGTCCCCGATGGAAAGTCTGCAACAGCAACACTTAGCCTGTCTGTGGAACTGACAAGCTCAGTTTGGGATAGTCTCTTCCCAGTAAACAGAGGCTATTCTAAAGCGATGAACACTGACCATCCTTGGCAGAGGCAAAAGGGAACTCTACAACAGCATGGTCCCAAACGTCCCCAGTCTCTTAACTAAGTAACTCATCAAGCGTCCACTACTGGTAGAGGCACCTTTTAGCCGAGTCCAGCCCTTCTTGCCCGTGGACGAGCTTTGTTACTTCGGCAGCAAGCCGTTTCTGAGGGCCCCGCTTCTCTGGCTCTTTGACATGGAGCTGCATTATATGGTCAATCTCTGGAAGGGGCAGAAAAGTAAAGAGCTTCAGGTACCTTGGGGACAAAAAAAAAAAAAAACCTGTTAGGTTTATACAACATACCTAGTTTTAATTTCCAGCTCCCGTTCCCTTTAAAGAACATCAGGCTTACTTTTACATTTATTTTAAATTATGAAACATAACAAACATGCACGAATGTACCAAAAATAAGACAAAGTAATACATACACCATCTTGACTGAAGATGTTACTGTTCTGCCATCTTTGTTTCAGACCCTTCCTTTTTAAACGTCATAAAGCAGCAGAGACACAGATGAAGACCCCAGCCCCATCATGTATATTCTCCTTCACCACTAATCTTAATTTGTGAGCACCCTTTCCCACGCACACTTTTGTATTTCTGTTTTCTGTGTAGGCACCCAGAAATGAAACTATCGTGTAATTAAAAACTGACAAGTATCCTCTTCTAAAAATCTTATCTTTGGTGAAAACCACAGGAAAGTACGCAAATCACAAACACAGCTTAATGAGTCATAAAGCAAACATCTGTGTAACTGTCGAAATACACAGCACTGCTCCCACCCAAGGAAGCCAGATGCCCAACCCTCACCCCCGCCAAGGTGACCACGCCTCTGACGTTCACGGGAATCACTTCCTCGTCTTTCCTTCTATGTTTGCCGTCTCGGCATGCTTCCTTAGACAGCATCACTTAGTTAGTTCTGCCTTTTTTCAGACATACAAACAGAATCACACAGAATATGTTTTTGTTGGCTGCTTTGGCACATCATTGTGTCGGAGATTCACCCACGTTGCTGTGTGTGCAGCTGTCCAATGCAACACTCCATGCTATGAATGTCTCAGAATGTATTTATTCTAGCCTGGGTGTCTGCATTCTCCCCACCCTGGGGCTCTGGTTAACACTGCGACTATGACTAGTCCCACGTTCTTCTTGGTGCACATGTGCACTCACCTGTCAGGGGTGCGCCCAGAGAAGGGGCTGCCCAGCACAGGACGTGTGTGTATTCGACTTGAGTAGCACGGCCACTTATCACTCCAACTGGTTCTCTTAAGTGTAGTGCACGTGCTTGACGTTAAGCGTTTGTCAGTGCGTCCCTTTCAAAGACATCCATCCTGGACACACGCAGCCTGCTCTTACGACAGGGCTGACAGCAGCCAACCAGGTAAGGAACCAGACTGCCCCGACCCGTGAAGGGCCGCTTTTAGAAAGCCCTGGGACCAAGATAACTGACTGCTTGAGTGGCCCCACTCCTCCCTTGCCACACCCTAATCCTTGCTCGTGTTATAAATTAGCCAGTGAAGAGGGAGCCTGCAAAGCCCTAGGTAGTAATGGCAGAGCCCCAGGTCTGCGCTCCCTACCCCACTCTCTGTCTTCGACCTCACTGTGTGGCCCTCAGACTGCTATGTACCTTCTAGAAACTGTAATAAATCTTATTTTTTTAAAGTTCCCTGATGATGGTTGCTGAGGTGCATCCTGTAATCATTAGGACCACAAGGGCCGGTCCAGCCACAGTGTTGGCTCTGGGTGAAGAGATGTCTGTTGGGGGTGGGCACAGTATCAGCACGGGCGAGCGCCAGGCATTTCTAGCTGATGGCACCACTGTGGACAGGCTGAGGTCCCAAGAAAGCTGGCAGTGGTGTAGCTGGCAGGACTGCACGACCGCCTTTTAGCTTTGAGTGGTTTACTAACTGGCTAACTCAGGGAGGTAACACCATCTGGGGGGCGGCAACGCGGGCTGGAGGGCCATCAAGCTGCGATTACGTCTGTTACATGTTGCCTCCACTGGGCATCGCCTGCGCTATCTGTCCCCAAATGCCCCTGCTGCCATAATTCAATGATCTCTGCAAAGCAGTGTGGTCGGCGATCAAGGCCACGTGGTCTAATGAAATGATCAGACCGCTAATTAGAGGCCTTAACTGACTACTAATGTACACGAAGGTGCCCCACATCTCAGGGCTAAGGAGAGCTAACGAGGATGGACTGGATCCCAAGGTGAGGCTTTGGGCCAAAGGTGAGAGGAAAGGCTATTCCCACAGGTACACAGGAGGGAGACCTGCCCTGTGCGTGGTGGGTCACACTGGGGCTACACTTCCTAACCTGAGGGGTGGAACAGCCTGACAGCAGGGAACCCGGCACAGCGAAGGGCGAACACAGCCAAGGCCTGCTGTCCTTTGTCCCGCTAACTCGATGGGATGTCACAGGTCCAGTACCCACTGTGCTGTTGCTAAACAATGGACACACGTAAATGTCCTGCTATCTCATGCTAGAGCCTGTAAGGCCCCGGAGGTGGGACACCAGCTCCGTGATGAAGGCAGAGCCCCTCTGGAAGCTTCCTGGGCACTGCTTAGTGCCACCGTGTGCCCAGACGCCAAGGCTCCAGTTCTGCACCCCCGAGGCCTCGGGCTTTCCCAAAGACCCTGTGCATCTTCTGCCGCTGGAGACAGACTGAAGTCCGGAGGTTGACTGGGACAGCCCGAAAACGGGGCAGCCACCTATGAAGAGGGCTCATGGGATGTCTTCCGCAAGCTCTTTCTGCTACCAACATGTAAGATCAGGATAACGGAGAAAATCAGGAAGAAAAAAACTGAGATCAGAAATTATACCTTAACTGAAATTCTAACCTTCTGCAGAGATTCTGCACGGAAGGAAGGAAAGAAGGGAGCTGACTGGCTGTTGCAGGTTTTTGGAACCTAAATTGTCACTCATGGCTGCTGAAATGTGCCAACTGACCAACTGGTACCTCTAAAGATCCTAAAATCTATAACCTTCTCTGAGATCCGTCCATCCAGGCTATGTCTGTTTCCGCTGAGGTCCCCTCCGCTTTCCCTGGAATGGGCAGAACAAAGCAACATGCCTCGTGAGGCACCAAGGGGAAAGCTGCCAGTGTCACGGAGGCCTCTAGTGAGGACAAAGAGGGAGGAGAAAGGCAGGCAGAGGGCCCCGGAGCCCCCCTCTCCTCACCTGGACAGTCACCGCCGGGCCCTGTGCCCATCCTGCCATCACGGTGATTACTGCCAAGACCCACAGTGAATGGGAGACATAAGAGGCCTGTCTCCTGCTGTGCAAAATGGGCGTGGTTGATGGGTTTACTGTTTCCTACCCTTTCTATGACCAGACTGACTCCAATGACTCCCTTTTCAGTCTAACCTTGAAGAAGCCCCGTCTGACCCTGAGTCCAGAGAATTCTTTTGACAAGATGCTCCCTCTAACCAGGGGCCAGTGTTCCTATATTTCACTTTTACTATCAAAACCACTCAAAAGGCACTGACGGGCACTGACATGGAGTACATGACTCACCGTTAAACCAGCCACCACACTCAGGTACAACACACACTGCATGTTCTAGAAGCAACATGCCCCTCATCTCTCACTGATTCTCTGCCTTACACACACAGCCACACGCGAGTCTGCCACCCCCCACTGCGGCGAGGCGCAGCAGGATGCTTTGCGGGCTGCCTGGCAGGCAGCTCAACAAGCCTCACCCCTAGTCCCCCCCTGGCCCCACACTCCAGGTCAGGGCTTGACCACATCCGGCCATGCCTCCCCGGAGTCTCTGGACCAAACGTAAGTCTGCTCGATTCCCTATGGGGTTTGGGGTGAAGCGCCTAGCTCCAAGGGCAGCCCCTGGAAGCCAGCTTTGGATCCTTCTGGGCTCTTTTAGAAAGTGAGGCCCTAACCAGCCCCCAGCTGATACTACCCCTTCGTGCCCTGGGCGGAGGATGCTCCTGGCAGAAGCTTGGCCCCGCTGCTAACACCTCCTCGGTGGTGTGAAAATGGCACCTTAGGAGAGGACTCAGCTTGACGGCAAAGAGGAGGACGCGGCTTCCCTCATGCCCAAGAGCCCTGTGGGGCTGGCAGGGTGTCCTGCTGCCTCCTCTTCTGGCTGGTTGGGGAGCCCCCTGGGACCTATGGCCTGAGATGCACAGGGAGCCAGTGTTCTTCACCAACGGCAGGAATGCAGCATCCCACCTGGCCTCAGGCACCTCTCCAGGTGAGGAAGGCAGTCCTGGCTGATCACCTGGCCCTTAGCATGCCAGAAAAAGCGGCCTTTCGCAGAGCCACGTTTTCACAGACCCCTGGCTATTGCTAATGGTTTAGCGGTTTGGTCTGGCCAATAGCTAAGGGACAGTTTTCTCATACGAGACAAGTCCATGTGGCCCAGGCATGGACGGGGCCACCAGTTCCCATCACTGTTACGTTTCCACTCACACTACCTGCTCTGTGCCGGAAGCCACTTTCAACAGGGCCTCCGACTCCCTAAGCCCACCACTTCCTAGGGTCCTGAGAGCCCGCACGACCGAGGGCCACCGAGGAATTCGCGCCTCAACAGCTTGGGCTCAAGTGACGGGACTCCCTCTCTCCTCTGGCAGCAAAGCTGTGACACACGATTGCATCTCCGCTCTCAAACCGAACAATGGAGGCTGGGGACATACCCCCGGGAGACCGGCCACACTCCCACAAGCAGGCTGACTTCACTCCACAGCTTCCTTCCCCGGAGGCCTTCATCAGACGTGCCTTCACGATCACTGATACTCACACAGGACTCCTCTGGGTGATCCCCACAGGGAACTCCTCTTCAAAACAGGTACACTCTTTCCTTACTAAATTTATTCTCATTCCCTTTAGAGCAACAAACTTTACTGACTCTGACCCACTTTACCTCTCCAGACACTAAACACAGTATCTCTCCAATACAATAACCTTTAGAATTTCCATCTCGGCTACAGCCTTGGGCAACTGGCCTCACTGACCATCACTAGTCTCCTTAAAGAGACACTTTTATACTTTTGCTCAACAGTGGCTCTTAATGCTCAGCAGGAAAGTCTTACACATTTAAAAATTTTAAGAATTATTCCTAGATTATTTTGATGATACAATTATGTCAAAAATATTTTCCAAAAAATGCACTTTCTTTGTTGCAAGTGTATTTCTCATTAATTTACATTCTTCCAGGAGTTTGAGATACTGTGAATTAATGAGAAAATCATTTTTAAAAAGGATCTTCTTTTGTGTTAAAGAAAAGGAACTTTGGAGACAAAGGTAAAACAAGGGTTAGTGAAGATTTAGATGAAAGGAGTGAACAAACCAGAATATGCAAGCAATAATGTCCTAAATACTTTGCTGGATGTAGATCACGAGCTTGGCTTTAAGTTTTCTAGTACCCACAGTGGTTTTCCGCTTTAACGAAAAGTGTTTAATTTTAGAACAGTTAAAACTACAATGTTCTGGAATGTACTGGTTTATGCCTTAAATAGAACCTAAGATAAAAAAAAACCCAACCCAAAACTATGAAGGGGTGATGGGTACAGGCAGATGCAATGGCTCAAATTAAATCATGAGCTTCTGAACTTAATTCTCAGCACACCATTAACAACTCACCTTTCTACCAAATCATCTTGCTGCCTGACAAAAAACTGATACAGTTCAAATGGAGATGTCTTATTTCTGTTCAGCCAAACAGCATTGCCAGCAGACTTCCCCAGTTTTGCTCCAGTGGTACTTGTAATTAGAGGAACAGAGATTCCAAATACGTCTTCTCCAGTCAACCTGTGCACAAAGAAGAACTTCATTACATACGTCAAGGTCAGGTGCTGGTAGATTCTGCTAATCAGTCTTCCAATTTCAGTCTGGTGTCCAGCTCTAAGAACACTTACCTGACCTCCTAAACCTGGATTCTTGCTCATCTTACTGCCTTCTCATCTCTCTATTTTGGCATTTGTCATTCTGACCTGTAATTGAGCCAGTGGCTCTGGGCAAGTCAAGGGGAAGTGCTGAATAACTAGGCCCCAGAAATTTCTAAAGGCCTGGTGGGAAAAGGGGAGAAAACTGGGTAAAGGGCGAGTCAGGCAGAGACACCAAAGGAGGTGTTTTAAAGGGAATTTTTACATGAGAAGCATGTAAACTAATCCTGTAGTTCATCTTCCTCAGGAAAATGCCACTAAACTCTACATTATTTGCTAAATATTTAGTGTTGAAAAAAATATTTTGAGATGCCAACCAATTCTTAACACTTAGCTTCACGTAAGGTGCCGGGCAAAAGCAGACTATTCGAGGAGGCCCAGTCACGTACTGGTATAAACAAAGAAAAGCAGTTTTTCAAATCAGAAACACAGAAAAAGCTTCGGAGAAGCAAAAAGCTACAACCCGAATCCTGACTAGTGGTCTCTGTCCTGTGGAGGTCTAGAGTGTGGCCCACACCTAACACCATTAATTCAGCCCCTGAGTTGTCCTTAGCCAGTGATACTAATTCAATGCCATTACAGACCCTTAAATGCAGATAAAACCAGTAGGGCGTCATCCCACAATCCCAGTAATACATCACAAGCGAGTCGCATGTGAACTGTCTGGCATTCCTGAGCATTCCTCCTGCTCTAAAGGTGCTTACTTGTGGATGAACTCATATCCGGACATGATGTTGCCCAGCTGATCAGATCCACCCAGCTGGACCCGGCATCCATACCGCTGGAACAGGTAGTAGAAATCATAGGCCTGGAGGACCTGGTATAAAAACTCGGCCAAACTCATTCCTTCGGGGCTCTTGAGGCGGGTCTGCACGCTCAGCCGGCTCAGCAACGTGCCCATGCGGAAGTGGCCGCCCACCGCCGCTAGGAAGTCCACCAGGGGCTGCTTCTGGTACCAGTCGGCGTTGTCCAGCACCGTGAACGTGCCCCAGGCCCGCCCGTCGGCGAACAGCTGCTGGTGGTTAGCCGCCAGGGCCTGGAGCCCTCGGCGCAGGGCGCGCGCGTTGCTCCGCACGCGCTCCGCCGCCAGCGCCTCGCGCTCCTTGCTCCGGCCGCTCGGGTCTCCCAGGCGCGCGGTGGCGCCCCCCACCAGCGCGATCACGTTGTGGCCCGCTCGCTGGAAGTGAAACAGGCCCAAGAGCGCCAGAAGATGGCCCACGTGAAGCGAGTCGGCCGTGGGGTCGAAGCCGCAGTAGACGGTCTGGGGCACGGTGCCCGCCGTGCGGTGGTCAAAGAGCTCCGGGAGCTCGGTCTTCGTACCCTTCTCGGGGAAGAACTCTTTAAACAGACCGCGCGCCTTCTGCACCGCCAGCAACCCCTGCGCGCCCGAGTGGCTCTCACGCAGCCCCCGGGGCAGGACTCCTGACCGGCCCGGGGTAGCAAACCTCCGGCCACGGGAAATGCACCGCAACATGGGCGCCGCCATCTTGCACGAAGGGGATGCTGGGATCTTGGAGGCCGGCCACACCCCTCAGGGCCCGCCTCCTCCAATTCCCACGGAATGTGCTTCGGCGTTTTTCTGCGCATGCCCGGCTGTGCGCGCTCCGCAAGCTCAGTCGCGGAGTTTTGACCGTCTCGGTGGGGTTCCCGCTTAAAGTCCGGTCACCTTAACTTCCCTGAAACTTAATTTCCTCATCCGTCCATAACCTGGGCGTGTTTCTGATACTAGCGTCTAACTCGTGGGACTGTTGTGAGGATTAAGAATTAAGATCCTTAGCACATAGCTTTCTAAAATATTAGCTCTTTTTTTTTAAATTGAATTATAGTCAGTTTACAACTGGTGTACAGCAGTTTATCGGTCATACATGAACATACATACATTCATTTTGATATTCTTTTTCACCTTGAGCTACTATAAGATCTTGAATATACTTCCCTGTGCTGTGCAGTATAAGCTTGTTTATCTATTCTCTATATACCTGTCAGTATCTGCAAGACTACTCCTAGTCTGTCCCTTCCCATCCCCCTCCCCCCGGCATCCACAATTTCGTGTTCTATGTCTGTGAGTCTGTTTCTGTTTTATATTTAAGTTCATTTGTCTTTTTTTTTTAAGATTCCACATATGAGTGACATATGGTATTTTTCTTTCTCTAAAATATTAGCTTTTGTTTAAACTTTCACATAAAAAAATTGTGATCCACAAGTTCTTTAAAGCCTTAGCTCTATGCAAAAACTTACTCATAGAGGTTGTGAGGGGTTAGGAATTGGTTTAAGGTCACGGAGAGATAGAGGCCAACAGTTCCGTTATTCTGATTCCCGAGTGGATGGAAACTACTCAGTCCCCAGTATTCATTAGCGGCTCCAGGAGGTGGCACTCTTGTCCAACCTATAATGAGATAAAATTCATAGTAAATACAGAAAGCTCTGATTATTTATTTCAACTACTGGTAACCAAGCGGGACACAGATTTAGCACAAGTGGATTCAAATTAGTAATCACATTGCAACAGCAATAGGCAGGTGCTGTGAGTCCTCTGCTCACCAGTGACGAGGGTCTCGTTAGCAGTTGGCTGGCAGGGATCCAACTCCAAAACTGCCTTTAGAGTCTCATTTCTGTGACCGCTTTCAATGCCAACTGTCTTAGGTCGAGTTCCCAGGGAAAGAGACTCGAGTTGGAAAATTATGGGGGTGTGCTCTTGAGAACGCCTGTGGGTGTGATGGAAGCCGGGATGGGCAGAGAGAAGAGTTGATTTGTGAGCAGTTTGAAATAGAGGCCTCAGACAACCCCCATAGGGGACTCTGGAGCTGGGATTTCCTTTTGGAATCATCCTGAATAGAGGCAAGGAAGCAGGCCTTTACTGTGGGATGCCCCTGGGCAAGGCTTTGGCAAAGGGGGAGATGCAGAAGAAGCCTGAGCTGTGAGCCGTCAGCAGCCAATACTGTGCTGCTGGGGGACTGAGTGCCTTGGTCCTGAAGCAGGCATCTGGGCCACGCCCTCACTGTTCCCTACAGGACCTTTCCATTTCTTAACTTTATAAAGTCATTTTACAAAATATGTTTAAAAAATTAGTTTCTTTGCAGCTATAATTATCAGAGAATTGAGTTTCTCATTGCCAGACAGTAACTTCGACAGGATTGTTCAACACTTACTCAACAGGCTGTGTAACATATTTCCAAATCCCATAATTTTTTCTCCCAAAGCATGTAAACTAAATTGTTCAATTTAATATTAGCAAGTGTTGCCGGTGGTTAGGTTGTCACGTTGCAGAAAGAATAAAGAGATGAGACACAAAGGTCAAAAAAGTAAAGTGAGGATTTATTAAAGGATGGATAGTACCCTCTCAAAGGGAGAGCAGGCAGGCTCAGGTGAGGAGCCGCCCTGTGTTTCTTTGGCAAGTTGTTTGCGTAGGCTGTAAAAATCAATGGGCAGAATATTCGTTTGGAGCCGTATTCCCTGACTTTCATCCCAGCTCCACCTTTCTGGAGGAACGAGGGATTTTTGTGCCTATTTAGTCTGGATGGGAAGTGTCATGGCGTTGGTGGATGATGGGTACTTCTAAACTGCAAGGCTAATTTTATTGTAATGAGGGCATAATGAGCAAAAGGTTACATTTGGATGCTGGAGGTGCCTGCCTTTCCCCATCTCTCTTTGCCTGCCTCCGGGACACTTGTCACCCCAAAATGTGTGATTTCTTATCTGTCTGGAGGTTTTTGCTTTTCTCTATCTGCCCAAGGACCCCTGTTCTTCACAAGATGTATGGTTTCCTGCCATTTGTCCCATGCCCCCCTTTCTCTGCTCATATCTAGCTGTCTGCCTGCTCTAACACAAGGGCCAAATTGAATCTCGATAATGAAAATGAAGACACAGCAATATTTTCCTTAAGAAAATGAACATTTGGAGGAAGAAAGATTTCTTTAAAAAAATTATTTGGAAAAGCCCGTCTCTCACAGAAGTTTTTGTATCCATACGTTCATTCTGTCAATTCAACAATATTTTAAGTGCATTGAATATAATACATTGGATGCCTGTCTTTATCCTTCTGCCTCAGTTTCAAAGATACTAGGTTAAAAAATATTTACAGTTTCGTCTGGTCCTGAAGAAAATAAGTGGAGTATGTTCTAACTCTCCTGTTGCCATTCAAAATATCTCAAATTTGCCATCATCACCAGTTTAGCTGCAGCTTATTTCATACCACTTTGATCAGGGAAATATTTCAGTATGTACAGCAGGAAATTCTCCTGAGCACACAGCCAACAGTGCTTACTATTTAGTACCCAACACACAGGAAGATTTGAACATTTTCAGAAGGGTATCTTTCATTCTTCAGGTTTCCGATTAATGTGACAGGTAACTATCTGTGGCTTTTACAGGCATGTTAGTAATTTTATACCAGAAAGTATGACTTCATATTGTGGTTTAATTACTTACTCACTTCAGGAAACCATAGTTTTTCTCATTGAACTGTGTACCTGTTTCAACATGATTTGATGCCCTGTGCTTAATGGAGAAGGAATTTTGTGGACAATGATAAACAGAAATTTTTTATCTGAGATTAGAATGTATTATAAGGTCTTTAAATAGAGATTTGAGTTCTGCTTGGTGTCTTCTTAAATTCAGTTGTATTTCATGAAGAGTTAGTGAAGTCTGGTACAGAAAGTAGTATCAAGCAGGTGCTACGTGGGAATTGATGGCTCAATGACAGCCACAGTTATTTTCTTTTTATAGTTTGTCTTGGTGGAACAGGAAAAATGAGGCTTTGTCCAAAAAATGGAAGCAACAGAAGAAGCTGGGACTTTTAAAACTTTGGAATTATATACATGGCTAAAATTTTATGACATTTGATCTTGACCTGAGCTTAGCATACGAAAAGGTGCACAAGTTGATTCTTGCTGTTTTTTATTGGCTTAAAAAGTGAGTGAACACACCACACACAAAAATAAACTCAAAATGGTTTAAAGACTTAAACATAAGACAAGACATGATAAACCTCCTAGAAGAAAACATAGGCAAAACATTCTCTGACATAAATCTTAGCAATGTTTTTGTAGGATGGTCTACCCAGGCAATAGAAATAAAAGCAAAAATTAACAAATGGGACCTAATTAAACTTAAAAGCTTTTGCACAGCAAAGGAAACCATAAGCAAAACAAAATGACAACTTACAGAATGGGAGAAAATATTTGCCAATGATGCAACTGACAAAGGCTTAATTTCCAGAATATATAAACAGCTCATACAACTTAATAAGAAAAAAAACAAACAACCCAATTCAAAAATAGGCAGAAGACCTAAACAAGCAATTCTCCAAAGAAGGCATACAGATGGCCAATAGGCACATGAAAAAATGCTCAATATCACTAATTAATAACTAATTAATAACACCTCACACCAGTCAGAATGGCCATCATTCAAAAGTCCACAAACAATAAATGCTGGAGAGGGTATGGAGAAAAGGGAACTCTTCTACGCTGTTGGTGGGAATGTAGTTTGCTGCAGCCATTATGGAAAACAGTATGGAGATTCCTCAAAAGGCTAAAAATAGACTTACCTTATGATCCAGCAGTCCCACTCTTAGGCATATATCCAGAGGAAACCCTAATTTAAAAAGATACATGCACCCCAATGTTCATAGCAGCACTGTATACAATAGCCAAGACATGGAAACAACCTAAATGTCCATCAACAGATGACTGGATGAAGAAGTTGTGGTATATTTATATAATGGAATACTATTCAGCCATAAAATGACAACATAATGCCATTTGCAGCAACATGGATGTCCTTGGAGAATGTCACTCTAAGTGAAGTAAGCCAGAAAAAGAAAGAAAAATACCATATGAGAACGCTCATATGTTGAGTCTAAAAAAAAAGAAAAAAAGAGGGCACTAATGAACTCATCTATAAAACAAAAACAGACTTACAGACATGGTCAATAATCTTATGGTTACCAGCGGAAAGGAAATGGGAAGGGATAAATTTGGGAATTTGAGATTTGCAAATGTTAGCTACTATATATAAAAATAGATTTAAAAAAATTTCTTCTGTATAGCACAGGGAACTATATTCAATATCTTGTAATAACCTTTAATGAAAAAGAATATATGAAAATGAATATATGCATGTCTATGTATGACTGGGACATTGTGCTGCACACCAGAAATCAACACATTGTAACTGACTGTACTTCAATAAAATTTTTTTTGAAATAAATAAATAAATTTATTTTCCTATGGAAAAAATTAAGTGAATGAACAGTTTTAAAAAGTAATTTAGAAAATATGGTTTATCGCAACTGTGATAACTTGAGGTCAGCTGACCTTGAATTAGAGACACATCTAGTTACAGTTATTCTTTCCTGAAACAAAACGCTAGGTCAACATTCACTTTGATAGGATCTCTGTTTCATGTTGTTTGATTTTCAAAATGTGAACAGTTAGAAATTGAATGGCATTTAAAAAGCACAAAAAGGTAAAGATGAATACTGTTTTTATAGACTAGTCTCTCTCAGGTTATGCCCAACAGTGTAAACTTAGGTCCCCCTATTTAATTCTGAAGTGTTTTTTTATG